GGTTTAGGACTGAATTGGCACCAAAAAAAGGTTTATGACTAAATTGGCACTTATGCAAAAGGTTTAAGACTTTTTTGGCACTTTTCCCCAAAATCCTCTCTGGCAAACAGGGACAATCTCCACTGCCAAAGGCACTCCTAAAGAAGAACCTTCCACCAAACAAAAGAATGAGGTTAATAAACCATTCATATCCCAAAATTCAGCTAAATTTTCAATGATTGGCTAGACCAAACATTCATCAGCAACCCATAAATGCAAAGATACTTGTCAGACATCTGTGCAGATCGCTAGCGACATTCGTGGAATCGGAGCATCAGAAATACGTCCCGAGCAATGTAAAGAAAGTGGTCGGCACCGACAATATGATTGAATAACGGAATCCACTATTCTAAACCTTCCCATATGGATGATATCATTCTCCGGTGTGGTCATGAAATCCAGAAACAAGAATACAATCAGAGGTCCCTTACACGGAATCGATCTCTTTGGAACGGTTGTCCTCGCATTAAACCAACAGATGACCAGAACTTGCATTAGCCTGGTCACCCATAGCGTTTAGTGACAAAATGTAACTCAAAAAGCACAATGAACCAGACCCCAGTAAAGAAAGCCAAGACTAATATGAAAAATTCAAAGCCATTTGGATCATCAGGGGACTTTGTTTCCTCGTTTTTCACGTCTAGTACACAAAACTATCTAAACAAGACTACTCATCTAACCTGAACAGACATTACGCGAAAAGGGTCAATTTCGCCAAAACCCAGGAAAAGAATCTCCATGGCCAGGACGGCGACAGCGACGGCGACGGGTGGCCGGACGAGAGCCGGCGCAAGGCGGATGGTGCACGGCGACGGGGCGACAAGCGGCGGCTACTGGTCTGGGCGGAAGGTCGCACTCGCGGTTGGCTCGGGGCGAGTCGCGGTCGAGGGGCAACGGCGGTGGCGCAGCAGCCGGGTGGAGCTTGACGGCCGAATGGTGACGCGGCAACCAGACGAGCGGCGGCGGCGCGCGGCGGTGGGGGTCCCGTCGGTGAGTTGTAGGCGGAGCAGCGGACGTGTGCGCAAAGAGGAAGAAGAGAAGAAGAAGAAGAAGAGGAAGAAGACAAGAAAAAGAAAAAGGAAGAGAGAGAAGGGGGGATAGGAGGCAGGAATTTTTCTTTTTTTTAGTTAAATTCGTCGCAAAATCCGTCGTAAATTTGCGACGGATTTTTTTTCCGTTGAAAATTTGCAACGGATTTATTTGCGACGGATTGATTTTCCGTCGCAAATTTGCGACGGATTCCAAAAATAAAGCGTATTTTCCAATCCGTCGCAAATTTGCGACGGATTTATTTTTCCGTCGCAAATTTGCGACGGATTTATTTTCTTTCGCTAATTTGCGACGGAAGTGATCTTCACGGCATATGGCGCCCATTTTTTCAAATCCGTTGCTAATTTGCAACGGAATTAGCGACGGAAATGTTTATACCGACCAATTTTTCGAATCCGTCGCTAATTCCGTCGGAACCTTGAGTAGATATGCTTCTACACTTTTACATACAATGACACATTACTCATATTTGACGAATTAGTAAATGTCATGATCTAATTCGTCTAAGGGCGGCAAGTCTGGTGATGTTTTTTTTTTCATTAGAGCAGCGGAGGAATGTCAAACAACTACGGGAGGTTGTTGCGAAATGGGCCGATGTGACTAGCATTACGAATACTGTAGAGAAACATGATTGATGTGGATGTCATTGTTACAAACAGACTCGATTGACGCTTTCTCAAATAACAATAGGGCTCTGATACCAAGTCAAGATTGTGATAAAAAAAATTAAGAGCAATATATATATATCATTGTCAAATGAAGAGTACACGAACCTATTTATCGATTTTATAGGATGACTATCTAAAAGGGAAAATATCAATTACAATCAATTAAAGGAAATATAGGGAATCTTCTAAATATTTCTCTAATAGAATGCATGCCCTCTATTCACTCATCATTTGGATGTAACCCTTTAGGAGTAATTCATCTAATTGGTTAGATCAAATTGGTTAGATCTAAATAAGAATATCTCTTTTATATGATCTCCTATAGATATCCCCATATAGATACATTGATTTTACATTTCATACATCCACCCGATTCCGATCTATTTGAAAATTGCTATAATTTATTTACCCATATATTTACGCATACATAAGAGCTACATGCGGAGGAAACCGCCATATTCAACTAAATAGATATATGTGTTATCTATATCTAAGTCTTGAAAAAAAATAAGATAAGATTTGCACCTATCGAATCTAAAAATGCTTATTTGGGACGAAAACATTTTAAGAGATTATCTAATATCTTGAGTTTATAATAGATCTTCTTATCTAATTTGAATTTGTAATATCTAATCTCTCTTGAATTGGACGTGTAGCAAATTGTCCAATCTCTTTTGAATTTGAACTTGTGACAACAACCAATTTAGTTTGAATTTCAATTAACAATTGTTAGTTTGCATTAGATTGATTTCATTAGGCAATATTTAGTTTGTCTTGTGATGGAGTATATTCCTTATGTAGTCCTCGTCCTTATCACGAGAGATTGAGACATGGTAATTATCGTGATTAGACTTAGAAGAACTTAGGTTTAGTTTTAGAACACTACAAAAAAACAAGGTTTTAACGACGAATTTTGCGACGAAAAATTTGGCAAAATTTGTCGCTAAACGAATTTGCGACGAATCCGTCGCAAAATCCATCGCAAATTTACGACGGATCTATTTTCCGTCGCAAATTCCGTCGCTAATTAGCGACGGAAAATAAATCCGTCAGAAATTCCGTCGCAAATTTGCGACGACTAATTTTCCGTAGCAAATTTGCGACGGAATTTTCGATGGATTTATTTTCCGTCGCAAATTCCGTCGCTAATTTGCGATGACTAATTTTCCGTCGCAAATTCTGTCGCTATTTTTGCGACGGATTTATTTTCTGTTGCTAATTTGCGACGAATTTTTATTTCGTGGCAAATTCCGTCATAAATTAGCGACGAAAACTTTCCGTCGCTAATTTGCGACGGATTTATTTTTCGTCGCAAATTTCGTTGCAAATTAGCGACGAAAAATTTTCCATCGCTAAATTCTGTGGCAAAATCCTTGTTTTTTTGTAGTGTTAGCCTTTGGTAGTGAAACTTGTGAATATGTAGGGAACTAAAAAAAAAATTATTCCGTCCGGTTCATGGACCCACTTGAGAACTGGTGGTCCGATTCCTAATTTTAAGGTGGGAACCGATCACCCCTAGTAGAAATCGATCACCCCTAGTAGAAATCGAACTAGACCACGATCTGTGTAACCGAATAATCATATTTGGACTAAACCGAGGTCACCCTAAAACTAGCTGTATTTATGGATCTTTTCACCAATTTTCATACCGGTAGCATTAAACTTTTAGAATTTGGATCATCATTTTATTACTACTGTTGTTCAATATGTTCTTCTATTACCATAATTAGTTTTAAACTTGATCTGGTGTAGGCGGAAGAATATGTACCCATTAGAATCTACCTGCAACATATATGTATATTCATTGCTATAAAAATCCAATATACTATGCACATTGGATGTATCTAGTATAAATAATAGGAATATGAATACTTAAAAGATCAACTACTAGTGCATTGGCATAAGTTAGGATGGGAATCTTTGACTTCTGCTTGAATCCTGTCAAGTACCAAATAAATTTTGCATAAATATAGCTTTCTAGTACAAATCATAAAATATATCAACTTATGAAAAGGTGAAACTTTACATCCATTTAAGTTAACGCAGATTCTTGATAAAAGTGTCAAAAAAGTCATAAACCTTTGGCATTGGTGTCAATTTAGTCCTAAACCTTTTTTTGGTGCCAATTCAGTCCTAAGCCTTTTGCATTGGTGCTAATTCAGTCCTTCCCGCTAATAGCTATTCATGTGTCGAATGAATGAATTGACATCAATATAAAAGGTTTAAGACTGAATTGGCACAAATGCAAAAGGTTTAGGACTAAATTGGCATAAAAAAAAGGTTTAGGATTAAATTGACACTAATGCAAAAGGTTTATGACTGAATTGGCACCAAAAAAAGGTTTAGGATTAAATTGACATCAATGCAAAAGGTTTAAGACTTTTTTGACACTTTTCCCCATATTCTTTATTCCTTATTGTCATGATATCTTTGTCATTAGCATCTTTACTTAAATAATTTATCTCAACCAATCTTCTATTATCTTTTCTTGAACCAACTATTGTAAAAGGAACTCCATACCGAAAACAAACTAGGCGAAAATGATTTAAGCATGTCCGTTTCAAAAAAAGACAATTTTTTTGACAAATAATAGCTAAAATACGATATTCAAGTACTATTTCCTCGTGTGTGATTAAAGTTAATCAGGGAGTAGTTGTGTTCTTTTCCGAAAAGAGAGGCTAGACTTGTTTTTAATGTATAAATCAAAGAGCTTAAATGTTGTGTACGTAATTAAAGCACGTTATAAGAATTGAAAGTTCACCATTTATATCTTTCGTATACTTGATACACACTTTTCTCATTTATCAATTCTCAAATATTATATTTCTTTCTCTCTTTCCTATCTTTACAATGTTCACCTAAAAATTCCTATAGTATTTACAGTCGAGTGCCTTTCTTTTTGCTTAAATAACGTCACTAGGTTATGTTTCTCTTATTGTAAAAATAAAATGTACAAATTCTACATAGATAAGAGATTTTAGAAACTAATGCTTCAGTTGTCCATCATATGCAAAAATATAGCATATAATGTTAAGTGTATATTTTTTTTTTACACATACGGCCTAATGTATCTTTGATTGGGGAATCATATATATCCATTATCTCTAAAGCCGTTTGAGCCAAATTTTAATAAAATATTTTATTGAAATCTTAGTACATGGAGAATTTGTGAACGGACAAGTAAATAGGGCAAGGAAAAAAATTTGCATCCGTTCCATGATAAATCGGATTAATTACTGCCGTTGATCTTATGAATATGCGAAATTTGATGGGTACGATTCCCCCTGATTTCAACTAATCGGCTTCCGGTGAAGGGCTCCCTGAAAAAGACAACCTCGGAAAACTGTCGGGAGTCCAACACGGGACAGAGCACACGCTGTTAAAAAGACGAACATGAAAGGCATCGACGAATATAAAAATGCATCGAGCAAAACCTACCCCGTGGATTCATTCTACCAAGAACAAGAACCCACAAGAAACGCCACCACGACTCTCTGTTTTCTTGTCTTTCTAGGCCCATGAGTCTCTGGGGTTACGCTGTTGGAAAGAAGCAAGAATTGAAAGCAATGGATGCCAAGAATGTCCTTACTTCCGCAGCACGAAGCGCCTCTCTTTCCGGCTCCTCGTCTTCCACAGGTTCGCTTCTTATACGAGCTCCTCCTACTCTCGACGATGACGACGACGGCGGCGGCGGCGGCGGCGGCGGCTCTGATTTCCAGTCAAAAGCTCCGCGAATCGACGTTCAGTATGGCACTAGTAGTTGCAGCGACGAAAGCAGTGAGAGAGGCGGCTCCGACTGTGAGCGCTTGTTCGCTAGCGGGGATGACTTCGAAACGGCGTCGGAGAGGCCGTTCGTTGCGGACCCAGATGAGGAAACATTGGAAGGAGGTGGGGGCATCGCGAAAGATCGAATCTTTAGGCCCTTTGTGGCATACCCGGATGCGAACAAATTTGAGAACAGCTTTGGGGAGGAGACGTGTAGTGACGTTGATGAGTACTCTTCTGTGGCAGAGACTGTGGCAGAGTATGACTATGACCCCATTGTTGACCAAGTTATGCCTATTGCAAGGTTGTCCATAGATTTTGAGGATGAAGAGGGCTTGATGGCCATTGAAGAAATCGGGGATGAGGAGATCGTGAGAGCTGTGCGAGTTCCGGGTTTCGACGAGTCTGAGATGGTGGGGGGTGCACCTAGGATTAGGGTGATGGTGTATGAAGAGGAGAGAGATGAGGATGAGACAAGTTTGTTCGTTGGGGATGGGATTGAGATGCATAGCCCTTCTGGTGAGTATACAAGTGAGAAAGGTGACCTTGCTTCTATGGGGCATGCACGAGTTATGCATCTGAAGGGTGAGGAAGGAAGTTTCATGGAGCAGAGCTCCCAAATGCTAGCGAATTTCGAACATCTAAGTAGTGAAGGTAGAAGAACTGAGGGTGCAGATAGCCATCGATCAAATGATGAGAGGGTTTGGGAGCTGAAGAATGGAAAATTGAGTGATACTGATTTTGCCGAAAAATGTGAAACAAATACGGCTTCCGAGGCAATGCAACTGAATTTCGAGGAATTAGATTTCAGTTGGTGCAAAATTGTGAAGCCAAGCTTTACATGTGCAGTTGAAGAACCTGTGGTGGGGAAAGTTGCTATTTATGATACAGGTCTCACTCTTGAAGACCGAATGAATGATGTGACACCTCATTTGCAGATACTTTTGGAGTGCCCTAAAGTTGCGGGGGAAGTTAAGCACTTAGACTATACTTATTACAAGAACGGTACCAATGCAAGTGAGGAGGCTAGTGAAATGAGTTCATCGGATGAGGCATTGCGCGATCCTAGGAATCTCCTTAACTCTGTGTTTGCGGTTTCCCCTTCAGATCATGAACCAGAGTTAGAAGGAAGAGATGTGGAGGATGAAGCGTTATATAAAACAAGAGGAGGTGAAAAGAACTTGCTTGACGATGAAGGGGTTGACAGTTTGATATATGGTAGCTCTGAAACCGCTCAACTGGTAATGAGTGATCTAGAAGATGAATTCGCATCCTGTTTTCTCTCGAATCCAGCGAATTCTCAAGTTTATCCAGCAACGTATGATGGCCATATTGTCTCTGAATCAAGCAAAGAAGATGGTTCCTATGTTTATGGGGGACAGAATTTGTTAGTTGATTTGGACATCTTGGGAGATCTTCTCAAAGCACCTTCTTGTGCTGAATCAGAGGAGAATCTTAGCAAAGAGGAAAAGAAGTGCCTTGAGGATGTGCATCTGTTAAAGGTAAACCTCTTAAGACTTGTCCATAGACTAGGCTATTCTCCTGAAAATTCCATAGCTACACAGGCATTGTATCGTCTTGCCCTAACCATAGGCGGCCACTCTAGTCAAGCATTTTGCCTCCAATCAGCCAAAAAGTTGGCAGTGCAGCTTGAAGCTGAGGGTGGTAGTATGGACTTGTCATTGAACATCCTGGTCATCGGAAAAACAGGTGTGGGAAAGAGTGCGACCATTAATACCGTTTTGGGAGAAAAGAAAGCCGTGGTCAATGCATTTGAGCCCGCAACTTTTACTGTGAAAGAGGTTCTCGGAATTAAGGATGGTGTCAAATTTAGGTTTATTGATACACCAGGTCTTCGATCTTCTGGTACCGATCAATCTCTCAACCAGAGAATATTGATGTCTATAAAGAAGTTCACTAAAAGCTTTCCGCCTGATGTTGTTATGTATGTCGACCGTCTGGATTGCCCAGTGAGTGATCTTATTGATCTGCCACTTCTGCGGTCCATCACTAATTCTCTTGGTTCAGTAATATGGCATAATGCCATTATCGTCCTCACCCATGCCTCATCTACTCCCCTGGATGGACCAACCGGATTACCTTTCAGCTACAAAGACCTTGTATCTCAGCGATCTAGTGTTATTCAGCAATGTATCAGCTTAGCAATTGTTGATACGCATACAATGAATCCAAGTCTCATGCCTCCGGTGTTCATGATCGAAAACCTTTCTGAAAAAAATGAGCTTGGATGTGCAGTTCTTCCCAATGGACAATTTTGGAGAACACAGTTGTTGATCTTATGCTATTCACTGAAAATTTTGAGCAAAGCTTCGCCTCTGTCGAAACCGCAAGAATCATTATATCTCCGTAAAATCCACAACTTCTGTGTCCAGTCATTTGCCGTACTTGTCGTCTTCTCAAGTGCAACCTCACATTCACCCAAGACATTCCACTGATCAGGGTGAAACTGACCTGAACTTTGAGCTTGGCTATTTCTCCGATTTGGATGAAGGCACTGGTGACTGATTGATTGAAGCCCTTTGGGAGGTCTCAGATGGCGACACTCACAATTTGTGGAGTACATCTCCATTTGCCATTCAGAATATCCTCTTTGATTCCTCCATTGACAGAGAGCAGTGAGAAAATGGACAAGCATGCATGAGCTAACTTGCGAACATTGGCGAAAGCACATTGTCTACGTTGTCGTGGGAGAGAACAAAGCGAAATTCTTGGAGAACTATAGAGAAGTTGCAGCATGTCCAGAACTTGACAGGCAAAACGTAGCTGCTGGTCTCTAAGTTGACCACCCGATCGGTTTCAGAAGCTCCTTTGAAGACCTGGAATGAATTGTAAAGGCCATCTCTCCATTTCTCTATCTTGGCCAATTTTGAGTGGCAATTCTCCATGCAGAGGATTTCCAAGTTGTCTATTTTTGTTTGGTTGAACAATGAACGGGGGTTGGTGCATAGGAGTCGATATATATATATATATATATGTAGTTGCAACTTTTGGTGTCATCTTGTACGACTCACGAAGGGAAGAGCAGCGAAGCTTGCGGGGCCATATTTATCGCGCTCATTTTAGCGGATGCATACAGTTTTGTTCGGTCCGATCGGTCTGTTTCTCATGTTTTTGGCAATTACAAGATAGAGAAATCAAAGGGCTCCTAGAGTGGTGGATTTTCTGTTCTTTTGACTCGGATTAAAGGGGAAATTTTTGAAAACACCCTGAAGTGGATTTTGTCTCAGATCGTGAAATGTGTTGTCGACGGCCAAATTAAGCGACCTTTACGGGCTTTCGCACCTGAGAAAGGGGCATTTTTTTTGGTCCAAAAAATTATCAAATTTGATCCAAATGCACGTGATCTGTGGGATCAACAATGTGTTCGCATATGTCTTTGAGTTTGAGACCGATGGATCATATAGTACGTGTGTTTTCGCGTGCCTTTCGTGCGAAAAATTCGAATCTGTGCATGGGTTTACTAAATTATGGACCCGAAATTTTCGGATGAAGAATGTACCTTTCTCGGGCGTGGAAATAGCATACGGAAGTACCGCGCTCGCTGTCCGGCGAGAAATTTGGCCGCCGATGAACCGGGGGTTGATCGAGACACATTTCACTCCTTCATATCAGAGCGTTTTTCTCAGGGCAAATGCCAGAGGAGACGCGAAAATTGAGTCTGCGAGGCGCTTCATGATTTCATTTAACTGGTACAACAATGGCAGCGAACGGCGAGGCGAAAAATGCACAAGGTCTCTGACAAGAGTATGTTAAAAACATTTTGCCACACCACAATATTCACGAACTAATTTTTAAAAAAAAAACACCGATTTTATTTTGAGTGACAATTCTGATCGGAATCTTTTTTTGTCTCAATAAAAAGAATCAACTTTTACTCAAGTCCCAAATCTGGCCCTCGTAATGTGAAAATTTTAAATTGTTCAGGCCAGATTTGGGAATTAAGTGAAAGTTGGTTCTTTTTTATGAGATAAAAAAAAGTTTAGGCCAAAATTGACACTCGAGGTAAAGTTAGTGTTTTTTTTTTGGAATTAGGCCCATTATTCACAAAGAAAGTATTATAATTAAACCGGATCGATTTGTGGGGGAATTAGCTAGTGGACTTGGATTGCATTTTATGTATGTAGTAATGAAATTAGACCCAACAATTATTCAATTAAAACGAGAATTACTATTTTATTATTGTTTTATGTTAACTATATAATATTATAATCAATTACATAAATTATACGATCATATCTATTCATGACATACTAGTCAACACGGTCACTAATTAGTTCACTAGTTAGTTAACTAGTTAATACCCTTACAGTCTGACCAATTACATAACACGATAGAAGTAGACTAATAATCCACTAATTAAACTAAGAAATCGTATGTCTTAACTGCATATAATTGTAATTTTTCTATTTGAAGTGTACGATTCCAGAATTTTTTTTTAGAAAATTTGGCCTGCTATGTTGAATTACCTCAATTGCAAACAATTAAACGTTACACATGACTTTGCAGATTACCCAACTATTATAAAGCATGTGATCAACACAGTACAAACACCTAAAGAGCAAAATTAAACGAGGACTTATGCTTGTCCCAACTCGCGAGGTCCTATCCAATAGAGGCAGGTCACAATTGCATCGTCTTAGAATAGTGATACATCAAAAGCCAACACCACCGCAATGGTTGGCCTCGTAATGTAAGGAGCTTACTTAAAAAATGGTTTGGGACCGTCTTTGTCAGGTTCGGATCCCCCGATTGTTCCTCGACTTCGGGAAACTCGATTCAGCTTGAATGCACGAGCATCTTCAACTCGTGATCTTTTATTCCTTTCTTGAAATGCTGCTGGTATATTCTATATCTACAAAAGTGCATGCTTTTTATCATGAGAATCATAAGTAACTTTGTTAAGGAAAAACGATAACGAAATAAAAATTCGGGAAAGCAGAACGATGGGCCTATGTCTAGTGTCTACGAAGAAGGGAGCATAAGAGTAATGTTGGAGAAACATAAAAATTCATGATTCCACCATGGAGACAATGGAGAGATGGAGCGATTTGCTTCACCAAATCTGTTCAATTGCTTCACCCTCTCTTTTTCCCTCTCTTTTTCTTTTTTAATTTTTTCTAAATTCAAAGCTAGTTTGCAAAAAATACACCAACAACCTACCAATCACCATTTGCTTTGAGCAAATACACCTTGAGTCAAGAATTTTTCAATTAAATGCAATCCAACTCTTTGTTTTACGGCCCGCGAGGTCGTGCCTCTGGTATCGATTATACACAAGCCAAATTTGGATGACATAGTTTTTCGAGCCTCTAGATGTGGAGGCTCTACTGGCCCATGGCAATCAAGTTCGTCGAGATGTCAACCGGCATGGAGGAGTGTTGAGCTTGCTGAGAACTTGACCGTGGACGGGCATAGAGAAAAACCCAAGAAGGGTCGTGCGACACGGTGGTGTCGACTGTGTGGAGGGGTCAACGGCAGCGGCCTGATCGGAAAAGAGCGGCAGCGACAACTATGGTATGGAAAGCACAGTGGTGACAAGTTTAGTGTTTTAGATTGTGAGAGTTTGATTAGATGTGGTAATGAGTAATTAAAATTGGACGAGTGTCAAAATATGGTACTTGTGCGTGGTTTTCACTCGACATACACAAACAAGATAATTTGCACATACGAGTGAGATTCGGGCTACGTTTGCTTTCGGAAAATTCAAAATTTTGAAAAGATTTTCATAACTTTAATCTTTTATATCCAATACGAGAATGAATTAATAAAAAATGTTTCATTAATAACAATAATCTATTTCCAAACACTATTATTGAGAAGGAAAACGGTTTTTGTCAGACATTTTTCTTAAGCGACAAAAACCATCGAAATTTTTTGCATTATCGATTTTCCTCAAAAGAAATACATCCTCGATCAAACCAAAAATTCGTATTCTCTTCCAGAAGAATATGGTGGCGCGAGAGAACAAAAAGCATGTACTTTTTTTTTGTGGATGTAATTTGTAATTACATCACCGGCAAAATAAAAGGATCGTCCTATTGCCTTGAAAGAGTACAATTTATTTGTTTGCTCCACATAATTTCGATCCATGAATTTACATTGTTGGAGGTAATGAATTGTGTACGGCCAAAAGAAAAAAAAAGGGAAATTAATTGTGCTTATCAAATGCAATCGCTAAGTCGGAGGAAAGAAAAGATAATGAATTTACCTACGGGAAATGTTTATTTTTCATCCCCACCCGTTTGCTATTATTTTGCCTTTTCTTGTCATTCTCTTTGCCTATTTTATTTTTCTTCATTCTTTGTATCTCATGCGTATTTTTCTTACTCTAGTACTTGTTATTAATTCTTTTTGAAAGCGTGTGCAATAATCTCTTCATGTCGAAGTGAACTTTTGTCAACATTAATTTTTGCTGAGTATACGAAGATCGCTGGCCATAAAAAAGATGCAGTATATTAAGATGGATTTACAAAATTAATTTATTAAATAATACGTCAAATTTTTATTTGGGGTAGAATATGATCCACTCAACTTGGCACTTCATCAAAACCATTTTTATAAGCTAAAATTAGTGAGCCCATCATTGCCTTTAATTCATTGATCAACGAAGAGTCTTGTACTCCCCACTAACAGGGATTTCGATCTCGAAAATCTCAAAATTATTTGAAATATTCTATTATAAAGCAAAGCATGTTCTAACGAGAATTTCAATCTCGAAATTTTCCTAAAGAACTCCATGAATTCCCGTACAAACTTCTATTTAACAACTAGGGTTTTTGCCAAACCCTACTTTTTTGGTAATTTTTCTGTTAAATGCTCATCATCAGAATATACGTTTTTGCCAACACCCTTACTTTAATAGCTGAAATTTCTTTTTGAGAAAATTCCAAATAAAAGTCTGAACATTTTCTCAAATAAAGGCTTGAAATGGACCTTATTTCAAATAAAAGTCTGGAGTGCCCTCATTTCTCAAATAAGGGCATGAAGTGAATCTTGTTTCAAATAAGGGCATGAAGTGATTATATCAGTTTCAAAGAAGAGCCCGACTTTCTGGATGGTCAAGGGCATTTTCGTCCTTTACCTTTTTCTAAAATTTTTCATTTTTTTCTTTTTCCTTTTTTCTTCTTTCTTTCTTATTCATCGGTTGCCAGTCACCGGCCACCGGCAATGCCTGGAAAGGGCTGGGCAAGGGTCTCACCGGCCGGCCCTGTCGGGGTTCGTTGTAGGCATCCGTTTGAAGCTTCTGATGGGTCTGCTATATAAGTCAGTTTTCTGGGTCCTCATTGCCAATAGTGGACATGGTAATATTGGTCTTGGTAAAAGGCAAAGATTTTGTCGTAGCATGCATCAAGACAGGAACGACATTGTGAAGCCTATTCCGGGCTTTCCAGGCTTTGCCATTCATTTCTTGATATTAGTAACATGCTTAATTGGGGTAATTCGTCTCCATTACATTTGACAAATTGCGTGACATTCTCAAATTTCAACCCTATTCGGGATATAATGAAGTGATTATTCATCGATGCACGATTAGTTAAATCTCGCTCTGAATTGATCACTCATGAAAGACTAACCATTAGAGAAAGACTATTAAGGAATTAAGTACTTGCGACCAGAGAACTCGACCATGGATTGACAATTCGACCATAAGGATTGATGAGAGACAATTTTGAGCCATCATAGACCGATCAAGGAATGGTTATAGAATGTTGCGTCAATAGTATACAATCGGAGCGCAGGTGATTCCGCTTGACCACTGTATGGATTGCGAACGATCTTAAACCAATTCCTAACGATCGTGTATGTGATATTCTGAAATTTGACCCACTTAAGATTTATGAAATGAATGATTTTATGGACGTACTTGTAGTTAGATCTCGCCTGGAATTGATCACTCATGGGATACTAACCGTTAGGTAAAGGCTAATTAGGGATTTAAATTCGCGCGACCAAAGAAACTCGATCGTGAATTGTCTTTCAACCATAGAAATTGTCGAGGTGACATTTTGAGCCAATGTAGGCCGATCCAAGGATAGTTAGGGATCGATTCGCCGCTGTCATACGAGTGGATCATAGGTGATTCCGTTTGACCACAAGATGAATTGACGAATGACCCTAAACCTATACCAAACGATCGTGCCCATCAGAACTAGCGATCGATCCTCGCGATTACATGACAACCGAGGTCGTCACGATCCGAGTAAACTTAAACGTGGCTTGATTCAGTATCGGTCATGGGTCGAATATGCGAATTTCCCGAAAGCCACCCGTTAGTCTGAGATACGCTCAAGTTACGTTATTTAAAATTTAGTCATTAATTAAAGATCAAGTTGGGCATCGAAA